GTCCTCCCTCGCCTCCTTCTGTGCCTGAGGCAGGTGGGAGAGCTGCCCCTGCCCCTCACCAGCTGCAGCACTCGGGAGAGTGGGCCCTGCTCCTCACCTGGGCTGCACAGTAGAGCTGCCCCTGTTGGCGGAGACACAGGCGAGCTGGCCCTGAGGGTGTGACTGGGATGCCTGAGCACATCCCCCTATGTCTGCCATGTGGTGGTTAGGGCAAGGAGGGAACTGACCCTTACCAGCTGCAGCACTCGGGAAAGTGGACCCCACACCTCACCTGGGCAGCACAACAGAGCCGACCCTATCTATTGACGGTGTGGATGAACCAGCCCCAAGGATGTGAGAGTGGGAGATTCGGTCCTGCCCCTCCTCTGTCATATGGTGATGTGGTTAGGGCAAGGGAAAGATGGCTCCCCACCCCCCAAGAGCTGTCTTCCTAGTTGCAGCACTTGGGAGAGTGGTCCCTAGGCCACGCAGAAGAGCTGGACCTGATGATTCAGCTGTGGGGGAGCTGACCCAGAGGGCCTGAAAGCGGGAGACCTGGCCCCAACCCTTGCTCATTGTGGCAAGGGGTGAACTAGCCGTGGCAATGCTGCAGAGCTCCCCCTGGTGGTGAGGTGGGGGAGAGCTGGCAGGCTGACCAACCCTGCAACTACCCAGGCCCAGAACCAGGGTTGAGTTGGCCCAATATGATACCAGGGTTACGAGTTACCCCATCTATGATCTATGGGAGCATGTAAAGGGGCCAGTCCTGCAGACCCAAAGCTGCAGGGTCTCCATGACAACAACAGGAGGAGCCCCCATGAGGGCCCAGCATCCATAATGTAGCAGAAATTAGAGGCCTTGAACCAGACCAATGAACTTTTTGCAATGAAAACTTGTAAGTAAAGATTTATGGACAAAAGAGTTTATTGTGTGACTCACTGAAGCTTCCATGGTGAGATTTTTTTCTTTTTTCTTTTTTTCTCTTAAATTTTATTCTATTTGGGGAGGAGTTGAAAGGGCAGAGGGCAGAGGGCAGATACAAAGGGACAGGAAGTTAAAGGGTTGAAATGCATGATGTGAAAGACACAAAGAATAAAAGAAAGTTAAAAAAAATGTTGGGAGCCACTTTAAGATGTTGAGATATAAGCCGGGCAGTGGCGGTGCATGCCTTTAATCCCAGCACTTGGCAGGCAGAGGCAGGGGGATTTCTGTGAGTTTGAGGCCAGCCTGGTCTACAGAGTGAGTTCCAGGACAGCCAGAGCTGTTACGAAGAGAGACTCTATGTCTTGAAAAACCAAAAATAAATAAGTCTCACTGTGCTTCCTAGAATGGCTTGAATTTAACATCTGACCATATTAGAAGTGGGGGAGGCTGCAAAGGAGCCAGAGCTGGCGGGCAGAGCTGGCGGGCAGAGCTGGCGGGCAGAGCTGGCGGGCAGAGCTGGCGGGCAGAGCTGGCGGGCAGAGCTGGCAGGAGCACATAGGGCACAACCCCAGCGGACAAGACTGTGTGTGACACTGCCCGCCACCCCGGCACCTGTCTCCAAGGTGTTCATCTGGGAAAGCCTAGACCACGTGTCAAAGACTTGCAACAGTGCCTGACACAGAGAGGACTCTGGAAGGAGAAAGGCAGAGATACCAGGAGAAGCAGAGCAAGAAGGACAAGCAGGAGGGGAGGTGACAGCCACAAGGCACGTGGCAGAACACAGATCAATGTAAATGGGTTCGTTTCAGTTGTAAGAGCTGGTTGGGAACAAGCCTAAGCTATAGGCTGAGCTTTCATAGTTAATTAGAAGTCCCCAAGTCATTATTCGGGAGCTGGGAGGACAGAGAAAGACTTGTTACGGAGGCCAGGGGCTGGAGAGATGGCTCTTCCAGAGGGCGGAGTCTAAGTCCCAGCATCCAACATGGTGACTTAGAGCCATCTGTAACTCCAGTTTAGAAGAACTGACATTCTGGGTACCAAGTGAGAGACCGTGAACAGTGGGGGCTTCCTACCAAACCCTGGATTAGGCACAAACCACACCCGAAGACCTGTTTTCACAGAGATCCTTTATTAAGTGGGGAAGAAAAGGTTTTCTGACCTCGCAGGTGTAATTTTTAAGAGGAGGAAAAGGGGAGATCTGTCTTAGAATGGGATGAGGCGCTAAAGGAGATAGAGGACGGGGTAGGGGAAGGGGACAGGGGAGGGGTATTTGTCCCAGAGGGACAAGACTGCCTTTGGATAGAGGAGAGACAGACGTGGCACATAGGCAAATGGCAGTTTATAAAGGTACAAGGGGAACCCCGTGTTAGGGTGATGCGTTTAATTTTAATTGAACATGTTAATAGGGGCAACAAAAGGGGGCTTTGATTGCTGGATTTCAATACTTCGATAGCTGGACCTCAGGAGGAGGGAGTGGCCAAAAAGGAATAAACCTTGGTGGCTAGCTTTAGGAATGTAATCTAGTGGGGTTTTTTGTTTGTTTGTTTGTTTGTTTCTCCAGAGCTGAGGATGGAACCCAGGGCCTTGCACTTGCTAGGCAAGCGCTCTACCACTGAGCTAAATCCCCAACCCCTATGTAATCTACTGTTTTTTTTTGTTTTTTTGTTTGTTTGTTTGTTTTTTTTGTTTTTTTTTTGTTTTTTTTTTAGCAAGGCAGAGGGAATGGGGAGAAGGGCAAGACCTGCCAGAGCCATATGCTCGAGTGGGTTAGGGTCCCTTCACCAGGCACACATGTGGTGCACAGACACAGAAGCAGGAAAAACACACATACACAAAAGTAAAAAAAAAAAAAAAATTAAGCCGGGCGGTGGTGGCGCACGCCTTTAATCCCAGCACTCGGGAGGCAGAGCCAGGCGGATCTCTGTGAGTTCGAGGCCAGCCTGGGCTACCAAGTGAGTTCCAGGAAAGGCACAAAGCTACACAGAGAAACCCTGTCTCGAAAAAAAAAATAATAATGATGATGATGTCCTTATTTAAACAACAAAAGTGAGGCCATACTGTGGCCACTCATAGTAAGGAGCAGTACCCCTGTGCACTGGTGTAAAACAATGCAAGCTTGCTTACTTGCTTGGTTATGCATGGCTATGCACTGTTGTTAGCTGCCAAGTGGGTGCTGGGAATTGAACCTAGGTCCTCCAGAAGAGCAGTCAGTGTTCTTAACCACTGAGCCATCTCTCCAGACCTAGCCATCTCTCCAGACCTAGGTTATGCATGGTTGTAAAACATTTTGCTGAAGGATTTTGGATATTGAGATCCCAGATGTCTTAGTCAGTGTTCTATTGCTCTGAAGAGTTACCATGATGATGGCAACTCTTAATAAAGGAAAGCATTTGGTTGGGGCTTGCTTATAGTTTCAGAGGTTTAGTCCACTATCCTCATGGAGGAGAGCATGGTGGCGTGCAGGCAGACACGGTAGCTGAGAGGTCTACATTCAGATCCACAGGCAGCAGGAAGAGAGAGAGACTGGGCCTGGCTTGAGCATTTGAAACCCCAGCGCCCACCCCCTCAGTAACACACTTCTTCCCACAAAGCCATACCTACTGTAACAAGACCACCCCTCCTAATCCCTGTAAAGTAGCACCACTCCCTGATGACCAAGCATTCAAATCTATGAGCCTATGGGAGCCATTGCTCTCCAAACCACCACACCAGATCTATTTCTAACACTTCACCCCAGTAGAAGAGAAATGAAGGTTCTTATACCAATTCACAGGATGAAAAAGCGGCATGGTAAGGTTCTATTTCCACAAAGCCAGAATGCACACGAATCTAGAGTTGAGGTCTGGGGGGGGGGGGTTGTAGTTGGCTGATTTGCTCTTTTGGCTCTTTTGTGGGGCCCATCACCCAGCTCCCAAATAAGCTACACGGGGGGCTTACTCTTAATTATAAATACCTGGTTGTAGCTTGGCTTGTTTCTTGCCAGCTTTTCTTAACTTTAACTTATCACATCTACCTTTTGCCTCTGGGCTTTTACCTTTTTCTCTTCCTTCCTTCCTTCCTTCCTTCCTTCCTTCCTTCCTTCCTTCCTTCCTTCCTTCCTTCCTTCCTCCATTGCTGATTGTGTAGCTTGGTGGCTGGCCCCTGAAGTCCTCTCCATGTTCTCTTGCTCTTCCTCTCTTCCCAGATTTCTCCTATTTATTCTCTCTGCCTGCCAGCCCATCTATCCTTTCTCTTGCCTTGCTATTGACCATTCAGCTCTTTATTAGACCATCAAGTGTTTTAGACAGGCACAGTAACACAGCTTCACAGACTTAAACAAATCCAACATAAAAGAATGCAACACATCTTTGAATCATCAAACAAATGTTCCATAGAATAAAAAAATGTAACACACCTTAAGTGATATTCCACAACAGCAGTTAATATGTCAATATGAGGGGCAGCTTATTCTATGTCAATCTCTTTTGAATTATTTGTGTGTGGGTGTGTGTCAATGTGAAGGCCTGAGGTCAACACCAGGTGTGCTGTGTGACACTATTCCCAGGGTAACATGAACAAATTACAAATCTACTCACCCCAGATAAAGAGCCAATGACAGACCAAAGTATGGCTACCACCAAAGTCCAATTTGGTGAACCAAAGAGTTTTATTGACATCACTTAGAGGAACATGGGTGAAGGGTTACTTAGAGGAACAGAAATGATTCAAAGATGCCTGCATCACCAAAGCCCACTCCAGCATGGGTGAGAGTCCACAAAGGTTAGAAATCTGGGGCGCACTGGGTAGGTTAAAAGGGCCAAGGGAAAAAAATGCCCTGCCCCTGACTAAACCCGTGACCTGGGCAAAGGAAAAACACCCTGACTTGACCACAGGACAAGGGCTTGAAATCCCACCAATGCCTGAGTTTGTCCCCGAGTCAGGCTGCAGAACCTCACCAATCCCTGAGCACAGGATCCCACCAATCCCTGAGGTTCCTGACCTCGAAATCCCATCAGTCTCTGAGTTTGCCCCAGAATTTGGCCACAAAAATCCACCAATCCCAAGGCAACCTTGGAACACTCAGCTCATCCCCAAGAAACCCTATATAGGCTCTGTACCTTGTTCAGTTTGCTGCTGCTTCTCACCCTAGAGGCAACCATCCTCCTGGCTTCTTCCTTCCCAGTAAATCTCCCGAGTGGGGTTTGTTGTGTGGTGTGACTTCCAGAGTCGGGGCCAGCTGTAACAATTTTCCCTGGAGCTGGAGCAGAATGGAGCAAAACTGTAACACTTTCGCTGGGGAAACTTTGCCCTAGCAGAGCGGAGTTGTCACACTCTGGAGGATCTGAGCCGAGCTGAGCAGAGCTGTAACAACTTCGCTGGGGAAACTCTCTCCTGTCTGCGCAGAATTGCCGCGCTTACATTGGGGAAGCCTTTCCCTGGAGCAGGGCTGTAAGCTGCTAAGTGTACTGTGACTTTGTGGCATTCATTCCTTGGCTCCGACTGCCAGGATAACTTTCCATCCAAGCTGCAACACTTATACACTGAACAGCCATCAGGCATCTTAACAGGTTGGAGGGTGTCCTTTCCAGGTGGCTCAGCTGCTCTTTGTTTCTCTAGGCAGTTTGACTGGTTGCTGCATCTACCAGGTGGTAGGTCTCACCGGTAGTTCATATATCTAGAAATGAGCTTAAGCTGGACTGTAGGATTCCTGGGGTGGTGCACGCCTTTAATCCCAGCACTTGGGAGGCAGAGCCAGGCGGATCTCTGTGAGTTCAAAGCCAGCCTGGGCTACCAAGTGAGTTCCAGGAAAGGCGAAAAGCTACACAGAGAAACCTGTCTTGAAAAACAAAACAAAACAAAAAAAAGATAGTTGGGGATTTAGCAAGTGCAAGGTCCTGGGTTTGGTCCTCAGCTCCCGGTGGGGGTGGGGGGGTGGGGGGCAGGGGTGTGGTGTGGTGGGGGGCAGAAAGGATTCCTGGGGTCAGATAAACCAGCATTCCTCAGGAACTTGTGAAACCAGTCCCCATCTGCCAAGAGCAGCCCTTCCCCTGACCTTGGGAAGAAGGACAGCCAGCTCCCTGTGGTTGCAAATCAAAGCACACGCGGGGCCAGGCTCCCTCAGCATCACAGTGCCTGTTACACATTTCAAAGTGCAGGACAGTCCTAGCCCTTCTCACCTCCCCAGGACCCTCCTCCCAGATGCCTGCTTGTTCTCTTTGTAATGGCAGGGTTTTCTCACACACACACACACACACACACACACACACACACACACACTATTCTCTCTCTAGCTATTACTCCTCCCCTCTGTCTGTCCGTCTGTCTGTCTGTCTCTCCTCTATTCTCTATCTCTTGCTGTCCCACGGTCTCCACTGTTCTCTCCCCTTCTCTCACTTCCCTAGTCCTGGCCATGTCCAGTCTGCTGGCCATGTTCGGTCCACTTCTTTCTCCCTCTGCTCTGGGCTCTTCCAGATGCCTCTTATATCTACAATAAAAAATCCTTACCCATATCATGAAGTGTCATGTCCCCAATTTCCTTTTTGTTTGTTTGTTTGTTTTTTGAGACCAGTTTTCTCTGTGTAGCCCTTCTGACCTGGAACTCACTCTGTAGACCAGGCTGGCCTCAAACTCAGAGATCCCCCTGCCTCTGCCTCCCAAGTGCTGGGATTAAAGACGTGCGCCGCCACCGCCCACAATGTTGTCAGTTTCTTTATGGTGCTCCCTTGAATATGTCTGAAAGAGAATAAAGAAGGCTTAAAGATAAGACATTTTCTGGCTAGGCATGGTGGCACATGCCTTTAATTCCAGCACTCTGGGGGACAGATACAGGCGGATCTCCATGAATTTGAGGCCAGCCTGATCTACATAGTGAGTTTCAGGACAGTCCGAACTAGTAGAGAAACCCTGTCTTTAAAAAAAAAAAAAGGTGGGGCAGGGGGAGAAAGAGAGAAAATTTTGTGAGTGGAGAGCACAGTTTAGAGATAATAGATGTTGTGCTGGGATCATTTGCTTGTGCAGTGGCAGAAGTTGTTAAAAGAGTTTGGAGATCAAGTGTGCCGCCTTTGACCACTGGGCTGTACGGAGTGTTTGCTTGGAAACTCCAGCTTGCTCCTTGCAGCTCCTGCATGGTCTGAGAAGCCCGTTCCTGTCTCTCCAAACCCCACTCAGAGTGTAAGCCCCTTGAGTCACGTGGGTGGCCAGGCCCTCCCACGCCCTACGCCTCCAGTGGACCTCTAACTGCCAGCTTCCACCCACAGAATACTCTAACTGCCCTAACTGCTGGACCCTGCCCCCGTCCTACAGAATAAAAAGCCCAATCTCTGGACAAAAAAAAAATCCCACCAATCTCCACCCTGGCAAGTTCCACCCCCTTACCAAAGAAACGCTACAGAAGCTCTCTATCCTGTTCACTTTGCTGCTGTTTCTTGCTTGAGCAGAGACAGCCACCCTCCTGGGTTTTTCCCTCCCAATAAGTCTCTTGGGTGAGGTTTGTTGGGTGACTCTGTGGTTTTCCTCGGCTTCCAGCTGCCAGGATACCTTTCCATCTGAGCTGCAATGTTCACAGGAAGGGGAGGCACCAAAAAGCCCAGTTCTGCAGCACCCCCCCCCCCCCGAAGTTGCCAGCAGCCCAAGTCCTCACCTACAAGCCACATAATCTCCCTGCTTTAGTTCAGGCGTGTGACTTCTCCAGCCTCAATCTCTGGGACTGAAGAGCCCACCCGGGAGTCGCTTTGCTCAAATAAACCTGTTGTCATACTTTCTCAGTTCCGCCTGATCTGGCTTACTGCATCAGTGGAGAAACCTATTATCGGGGTACAGAAAACCTATTCCCGAGGCCAAGGCATTTGCAGTAAGACAGTGAAGCTTTCAAGAAATCTCAGTCCAAGGAGGGAAAGAGAGTAAGAGCCTGTGGAGCTCAGGCTCCAGCAGGCAAGCAAGAGAGACAGGTGGGGAGGGAGCCAGGAGCAAGGGGAGGAGGAGATGGGAGAGACTTTAGGAAAGGGGGTGGTAGGTGGGGAAGGAGAGAAAGGAGTAAGCGTCCTGTGGCAAGAATTTCAGTTCAGGGGTTGAGGATTTAGCTCAGTGGTAGAGCGCTTGCCTAAGGTTCAGTCCTCAGCTGGGGGGGGGGGTGGATTTCAATACAGAGTGTCCCCAAACCAAGTGGACCAGGAGACTTGTCAGAGTGAAATGTCCCAAACTACAAAGGAGAGGCTTCCCTTCCCACGAGGTGGGTGTCCAGTAGGATGAGACATGACTTTTGTAGCAGTAGTAGGCTTCAGGAGCCCAAGGAGACAGAGAGCCAGAAACTCCGAGGTGACACCTGAATAGACCAGAGAGGTGAAGGGGAGAAGCAGCTGAAGAGATGGACGCCAAAGTATGGAGTTGAATATGGTGGGTGGCAGAAGTCAGCAGGAACAAAGGATCCGTACCTGTGGAGAGTCAAATCAGCAGCTTGGTTCAGTTAGGAGAGGCTGTGTGACTGGGCAAGACAGTTCAAAGTTTCCTCCATCTTGTATTCTTGCTGAAGCCATTTCAGGAATTTGATCTTCTTGACAGAGAATTCCATGGAACATTACCCAACTTTATTGGAGGAACCTGAGGTCAGGATGCCTAGCTAACTTATCCTAGCTTCTGTTAAACTGCCAGTTTGTGCAGAACCCCCCTCCAGCTAACTTCTTATCTTAGCTTCTGTTAACCTGCTTGCTTCTGCAGCAGCTTGCTATGGAATATTCCTTTACATTGTGTGAAGGTCTGTCACTGGGACTGGTTTAATAAAAAACTAATTGGCTGGTAGCCAGCCAGGAATTACAGGTGGGGCAACCAAACTAAGAGAATGATGGAAGGAAGAAGGGTGGAGTCAGGGGAGACACCAACCAGCCACCAAGGAAGCTGATATGTAGAAAATGAGGTAATAAGCTATGAGCCACCTGTCAAAGCACAGATAAGAAATATGGGTTAATTTAAATGTAAGAGCTAGCTAGTAACAAGCCTGAGCTATTGGCTAAACATTTATAATTTATATTAAGCCTCCATTGGTTGGTTATTTGGGAACTGGTGGGTGGTACAGAAACCTTTGCCTACAGCAGCTGAGATGCCAGAATATGGTTTTTGCCTTCAAAATCCCTGTGCTCTGGACACTTGGGGATACACTTAGGTCCCCAAATACTTGGGTGTAGTCCCAGCTGGCTAGAATAAATGTAAGGTCCTCTAAGCACACAAGTATCTGGGCCCTTCCTCCAGGACTGCCAGGTTCCACCCACAGAACACTCTAGCTGTCCTAACAGCTGGACACTGCCCTGCCCAACAGAGTAAAAAGCTCAAGCTCTGGACTTGACATCCCACCAACTCCCACCCTGGAAAGTTTCACACTGAAAAGTTCCACCAACCTCTCCAAGAAACGCTAATAAACCCTGCCTTCTGTTCAGTTCCCTGCTGTTTCTCGATTGAGCAGAGGCAGCCACCCTCCTGATTTTTTCCCCTCCCAATAAATCTCTTGTGTGAGGTTTGTTATGCAGTGTGACTTTGTGATATCCCTTGGCTCCCGACTGCCAGGATACCTTTCCATCCAAGCTATAAAGACTTTCAATTGGCCATAAACTGTTCCTGAGTGGTCATCTTTGGTGGGCTACCTGTAACAGCTGTGTCCATTTGGGAAGGGGTCTATTGTGTCCCTCCTGGTGTTCAGCACTAAGTGTGACGGGGGTGCAGTAAGAAATGCTGACAACTGGGCTGGAGAGATGGCTCAGAGGTTAAGAGCACCGACTGCTCTTCCAGAGGTCCTGAGTTCAATTCCCAGCACCCATATGGTGGCTTACAACCATCTGTAATGAGATCTGGCTCCCTCTTCTGTATTCATAATAAATAAATAAATAAACAAACAAACAAACAGACAGACAAACAGATAAATAAATAAATAAATAAATAAATAAATAAATAAATAAATAAATAAATAAATAAATACCCTTAACACTATCAGGGAGTAGTTGTCAGCATTTTTTAAATATTTATTTATTTATTATTATTTGTTGTTGTTGTTTCGAGACAGGGTTTCTCTGTGTTGTTTTGGTGCCTGTCCTGGATCTCACTTTGTAGACCAAGCTAGCCTTGAACTCACAGAGATTTGCCTGCCTCTGCCTCCCAAATGCTGGGATTAAAGGCATGCACCACCACCACCCTGTGGTATTGTGTTCCCCGAAATATTGTGCATGCTAATAAACTTATCTGGGGTCAGAAACAGAACAGCCACAATATTAAACATAAAGGATAGGCAGTGGTAGCACACGCCTTTAATCCTAGCATTCCAGAGGCAGAAATCCATCTGTTCAAGGATACAGCCAGGCATGGTGACTCACGCCTCTAATCCCAGAAAGTGAGCCTTTAATCCCAGGGAGTGATGGCAGAAAGCAGAAAGGTATATAAGGCGTGAAGACCAGAAACTAGAAGCATTTGGCTGGTTGAGCATTTGGCTGGTTAAGCTTTTATAGGTTTTGAGCAGCAGTTCAGCTGAGAGAATTCGGATATGAGGACACAGAGGCTTCCAGTCTGAGGAAACAAGACCAGCTGAGAAGTTGGCCAGGTGAGGTAGCTGTGGCTTGTTCTGTCTCTCTGATCTTCCAGCGTTCACCC